TACTCTATAAAATCACTGACAAACTTATCTTTATCTTAAAAAAAAATGTTGTACAATTTCAGAATGAGTGAAGGTACGCCCATTAAACAACACCTTGATGAGTTTAATTCTTTAATTATGAACCTAAATAAACATATATATTCATATTGAAAATGAAGATCAAATATTGATTGTTCTGTGTTCATTGTCATCTTCTTATGAGAATTTTGTTAATACTCTACTGCATGGGAAAGCTAGTATTTCACTAGATGATTTTAGTAACACACTAAAATCGAAAGAGTTACAAAAAAACTTTACTGAGTATAGAACAGAAAAGGAAGGTTTGGTAAGTAGGGGAAAGACATGGACAAATCAAAATGTAGAGGTAAAAAGAAAAACGATTTTGAGTATGGGGAGAATGGTCACTTTAGGAGAGATTGTCCTATACTGAATAGAGAAAATGAGCAGGAGAGTTCTGCTAATATAGTCGACATGGATAATTCTGATGATAGTGATAATAGTAGTGTTAGAGTAGTTCTACCTGTGAATTCGGATTATAGAAAGAACTCTTGAATTCTTGATTCTGGTGCTACATTTCATATGTGTCCACATAAGCATTGGTTTACTACTTACAAACAAATGAGTGGTACCGTAAATATAGGAGATAACAGTTCGTTATCTATAACTGAGATTGATAATATCAGATTAATAATGTTTGATAGTATTATCAGGACTATTGAGTGTTGACATGTTTCTCATATAAAGAGAAATCTTATTTCTTTTTCTACATTGGCGACTCAGGGTTACAAATATCATGCAGAGAATTGTATTCTTAAAGTCTGTAAAGGCTCCGAGGTACTCATGAAAGATAATTTAGAATCTAAATTATATGTTATTCAGAGAAATATAGTTTCAAGAGAAGCTGTCGCAGCATTAGGGAGCAATAAGCATAATCAATTGTTGCATCTACATTTGGATTATATAAGTAACAAAGGGTTATCTATTTTGAGCAGACAAAGTTTGATGAATGGGTATAAAGAAAGAACTTTGGGTTTCTGTGAACACTGTGTATTTGACAAGCAGAATAGAGTGAAATTCAACAAAAAGGCAGTACACAAGATCAGAGGTAAGTTGGATTATATTCATTATGACTTATGGAGTCCATATAGAGTTTCCTCCAAAAGTAATGCCGAGTATTTTATAACATTGATTGATGATTACTCTAAGAAGGTATAGTATATTTTCTGAAATCCAAGAAATAGACATTTTCAACATTTGTCAGATAGAAAACCATGATTGAGAAGTAGACAGAGAGGAAGATCAAGTGTCTTAGGACCGACAATAATTTAAAATTTTGCAATCACGAATTTGATGACTTCTGCAGTACTGAAGGTCTAGTGAGACACCGCACTTGTGTTGGGACACCACAACAAAATAGTATTGCAGAACGTATAAATATAACGTTTTGTGATAGGGTACGAAGCATGTTGTCTCATTGAGATGTGAGACAAAAATTTTGGACTAAATCTGTGAATATTGCTTGTTTCACATAATGGTGAATTGTAGAGAGCATATATGAGAACAAACAAAAGTCACAAGCTATCTGGCCTATAGCTTCGACATTCTTATCCACAGTATGCAGTAGGCAATAAATAGGAACGATAATAAAATAATTAACACAAAGCAATCCCGAGAGCTCATGCAATAGGAATAGTGATTCCACGATAGAATCAGGGATGAATCAGGTATTACAAGAATTGCAAACAAAACATTGATAACGGACACTCACCTGTCAAGACACCTGAGTACAGAAAACCTTTATATTTCTGCACATAAAATTGATTAGAGGATGTCACTCCTTTGATGTTTTCACTTCCTTAAGTATGAAATTAACAGAATCTATACCGAGTATCCCCAAAACTTTTTTCTTTTTAATCTTTAGAATTACACATTTGAAAAGTTTAAAGAAATTCATAAGCAACATCAATTACCGGAGCACAATTAAATTGAAAATCTAATTTCAGAGCAATGATTTAGCCTTACTTACATCAATAGGCAATGCATCATCTCCAACTTTATAGTTTACAGATTCGCGGAATGATTTTGTCTTGTGATCAATTTCTTCTGAAGTATAAGCTGCAAATCAATTATAGAACAGTGAAGTGAATCAAAGTCATAATGCTAGATCAATGCACATTCAATACATTATGAGATCTTAAGAATTCGCCATCTACCCGATCAATTTGCGTTCATCACTAATTACTGAACTGATTGGTAATTCTGATGGTCTCCATAGGTCTTTCTTGGAAAGAAAGTAACATAAAAAGCTGAATCACAGTTCTCGCAATCTTGAAATTAGTTTTGTCGCTTAATCCAAACAAAGTTAGAGAACTTTTGGTTCCAATGATACTTCAACAATCGACAAGCAAAAATTTTATATTCTTCAGTATCACAACGTAATTCTTACTTTGAGCTAAATACAAAGCATTTTCCAAAAGAAAAAACTAAAAGCAGTCCTGAACGTGAGCAGAGGAAGAAACGAACCATTGGTGACATATCCAACAGCAGCAGTAGCCACCGTGAGAGCCCCAATAAGGCCGTACTTGAGAAACCTCCACCGTTGCGGAAGCTCCAGCGCACCTTCGGTGGTCTGCTTCTCTTTACGTGGGACGCGATCGTTGACCAAATCTCGAGCAACCTCAATAACGGTGGGCATATGTGTTGGTTCAAAAGAAGGGGCATCCCATGTGCAAAGCCTTCGGCTGTTGAATCTAATCTCTGATAAACCTGAGCTGATGCGAGATCGAAGAGCCATCGAACACATTTTTCTTCTTCGTCTTCTTTTCTTCTTTGATTTGGAGTCTCAAACTCGGAGTTAAGGTTAGTTTTCAAATGAGTCATGGCGACGATGTTTGGGACGTTGACTTTCTTGTTGGTCATTTAATATTTCTGATTACTTTTAACAGTCATTTTATATTTGACTATAAGGACGAAACTCCTTGTGGAGAAGATGGAGCCGAGTCAACGGTGTATTATTTTGTTATTTTATTTTTCAGTTACTAGTAATTTTTATATTTTAAATTTTTTAAAATTATTCTAAAAAATAAATGGTCAGCGAAATTATTAAAATATATATTTAATTAAAACTCATATATTTAATTAACGAACACATAAGACATAGGGAAAAATAAAAGTACCAATTTGTATCATTACTTTATATTTTACAAAAAATCAAACAAATCTTATATATGTATGTGTGGGTGTGTGTGTGTATATATATATATATGTTAGTCTTGGTGTTTATGAGAGTAATAGCCACATAATGAAAAAATATTAAATAATTTTAAAATTACTTTAATGCATAACCAATTTAATTATTTCTCAACTTATATATTTAAAAATATGGTTCAATAAATATATGAAAGTTTCTTCATCCACCAAATTATTGGCTATCTTTCACCTATTCTGTAAAGAAGTAGTTAAAACATCTGAAACGACAAAACAATGGTTTTGGTGTTGTTTTATTTTTGTAATTAGTAAATTTATGGTCATTATTATATGAATTAATATTATATAAATACAAAATTATATGAATTAATAATAACAACACAAACACACGTCATTCATATTCAACAAAAATATATATATTTTTTTGTAATTTTTATTAGAAACATTTTGGATAATCTATTTCAAAAATTTAAGGGAAAAAAAAAATAGAATAAGAATATTTAATATAATTACGTTAATTATTTATTTTCAATAAACCGAAAACTAATTACTGTTTAATTAAACACACATGCTCAACTTATTTGTTCCTTCACTTGTACCAGAAATGGTTTTGACTTGCAAAGCATATGTCGTATGATGTATGTTGTATTCATCTGCTTCGCCTTCCATCAACCGTACAAAATCCGGTCTTCATCGTTTCCAGAACCGTTTATGCCTCTTCTCTTCTTGCATTCGTCTGTATCATCATTTAATCGACTCAAAAGGCAACTCACAATTTCACTTGTTTTTCTACTTTACTAGTACAAATTGTGGTATAAGTGAACAATCGCAAAGAACAACTCGTACCTATGATACTCTTTGGAGCGCTCGAGGAACTCCTTTGCAATATCATTTCTTTCATAAGATGATAGCACAGTCCTGATATCAGCAGGACTATTACGAGCAACATCTGCATAAAAAAACATTTTGCCTCTATAATCAAGCAAGTTTAAAGAAGAAAATATCAAAATTATGCAGAACATATTCATTGGACATTGCAGGATACTCACATTCAAGAAATGGAATAAGGTCCAAAAGAGCTGTGTCATCAAAGTCGAGCTTAAATGGCTTGATTGGTACACAGTTTTCTCGCTGAAGGCTATTATCAAATGCATACCCACTCACATAAAGGATTTTTGCCGGATCCCTATTGAGCTTCGACAGATCCTGCCAAAGAAAAACATAGTTCCTAAACAGAAAAGACCATTTTACTGAGCTGTTTGAAAAGAGGATTTGTGAGCTGAGGAAAAGAGGCTAATCGTATAAAAGGTGATGATACATTCTTACAGATCAAGGACCTTTAGTGACTTTCTTAAATCCAAAAAGATACGTTCTTCTCAATATAATAAGAAGAAAAGAAATCAACAAAAAATGTGGCTTGGATGTACATCACCAAAAACACAACTAATGAGACAGATGACCAAATAGAGGTACAAAAGTATAGCACAATCCCATCCAAATGAAATTCAGAATAGCTGACTCAATCGATGCAAAACAAAGAAAAGAATGTGGAAACAGTTAAATAGCAATAACATACCCTACAAAACTTGCCATTAACATAGTTGGTAGCTTCCCTCGTAAGCCGATGACGAATGTATTTGTTTGGATCCAACTTATCACAAACTGGACCAACATACTGCAACCCCCCCGCCCCCCAACCCCCACCGCAAAAAAGAAATAAACAGTTGATATCATAACTAGTTTCTGAGTTTACAGAACAGTATCCAAACAGTAAAGTAATCACATGTCATTTGCTCTGTGTACAAACATTTC